AGCACCAGATTACCGAATCAACTTGGTGTGGGAAAAAGTCCGGAAGCTGGAGCAAAGCTGGAGGCCCTTGAACATGTGCCCTCGTCTAACATATGCGTTTAAGCTGCTGTCACTTTTGTGACCATGTCGAGACAGAATGACAAAAATATCCCTGAGAAACGAAATCCCTGCTGACATTTTGTGGAGTCCAACAGGAAATCTTCAGAGATTTACTAATTAAGAAGAAATATCATGTGCCATGCAGTGCACACGGTGGGTATGAGGTCGGACCGTCAAACTTGTGGCTACACTATAGTTGGGAGGCATATTAAAACCCCCCCGCCCCATATAAGCATAATCCACGCCCTCTGTACCTTCCTTGACAATTTAAGACAGACAGGAGTCCACACGCCACGGAGGGTCAAAACTACATTCCGATTGAAATTAACAGACACACCGACCCATCGCCGTTGTCATGTCTGGTGTCCAAGCTATTTCTCTACCAAATACCAGGGCCGCATTAAGTTATACAGAACGCGAGTTCCGGCGTACACTCATTGGATTAAATCGGGTACAATATACAGAGCAAACATGGTGCTGGGATCTGGAGCGGAATAATTCGAGGTTGACACACGGGGCCGGGACTGACCGGTCATCAACGCTGGCCTGGCCCGGGCCCCAGCACTGACGACGATGTGCCGTGAGCTCGTATCGCTGCACCGCGTTACCTCGTTGCCCCGAGTTACAATCGTGGTCACAGGGTCATTGACTTGCACAGATACGCTTATACAACAACGGCCTACAACACTACCGGAGGTATTAAAGAGGGCTGCATGAAAGTCAAGAAAACGCCACCTTTTTCTTTCTGTAATCCAACCCGAAAAAAGGGTAAATTAAAATTACCTCCGACTTCAGCTTTGAACTCAAGACAAACAGAGCGGCTATATAATAGCATTAACACTGGATTGCCGATTCTCGTGCACTGCTAGAACTCACCTCCACAACGGGCGGGCATGTTTAACACTACATGGATTTGTCCGAGAATCATAGCCGTGTAAGATTTCCCAAATGTACCCCTGAAATCTATACCTTCCTTCTGTCCTGGCTATAATTAGCTTAGCAGGTTTTGTTTTATTCCCGAATTGATTTCAATATTGTGTCCTTTTCGAATGGATATTTTGGATTTTGAGGGAGTTAATCATAGTCACTTGCTTTCGCAAGGCTGCATGGCGAAGGACGATGCGGCAGCGTGGTTCAGCCGAAGACGTTGTATATAGGCTAAGTAAAATGTACAAGAGCCTAAGGCGACCGCCACCACCAGAGTTCAGAAGAGTAGAGATTCCAGAGAGGAAAACCGGGACAAAATGGAAAAAAGTCCCTCAAGGCAAATAAGGAGATAATCAATGAATATATTTGCTAACATATTATGACTCGGGCTGGGAATCGAACCCGGATCACAGTGGTGAAAGCCAGCCGACGCGCCATCTTTTTTTTTTTTTTTTTTTTTGCTTTATTCTACGTTCAGTTCGACATACGCGTGGAACAAGAAGTGCTCACCTTTATTCATACAGTTTTAGACTTAGCGGAGTTTGCATAGCGCCCTCGTGGTTAGGAGGTGTTTAAGAAATCGTACCTACTGCGATGTTTCAGCATGGATCTATTAGACAGGGACCTATAATTATTGTGAGACGCAGAAGGTCTGACGTTGTATTCCATTTCACGACCTTTTATTTTATTTCAACCAACCAAATGTAACAGCGACCACGTCGCCAATTGAAAGATATAAAACTTTTGCTAAAAAGCTGAAAAAGATAGTCAGAAAGCATTAAAAAAATACATGTACCGACCAGTACAAGTCTAGCCTGTGAGGTAAAGAGGGCATGACCTCGTAATGAGGTCAAGGACTATCTTAATGCGCGGGATGAGAGCACAGGCGTATCGGCCTACAATAAAATCTGGACCGGCAACGCTTTTGATTGGTTGAAACCACCGGAGGTCGTGTGGCGGCCATTTTACCGTGCCACAAGTTTCTAAACTAATCAACACTAACCTATGGAAGACTGCCACGATTTTTGATATTTTTGAGAATATTCAATACTTTCAGTACACTACATTCAATTATTGCCGGCGGGTTATGTTAGTGATTATTAGGAATAAACTTTTGCAGATGTTGGTCGTGTCTATTAGTGAATGCGAGTACATGTATTAGCGTTCAGCAACTGCTCATCGGTTTCGTCACTCGACGCGCTTATTCTCAGTAGGTTTCCCTCAAACAATATTGTTTGCAGAACCAACTTTAACACATTTTTTTGGATTTTTTAATACTTTAAGAATTCTTTAAAATAGGGATTTTCTTTCACAAGCACTGAAACACGAGGACGATATGCTGCTTTGTAGTGCCGCAGTGTGCAGAACATTTGGCAAGACTAACTCCAATCCTCAGGAATGTCAGGAAAGGACTGCCCTTTACATTTCATCGGTAGAGTTTTGACGATTACCTTTCACACAAACAGAAAGTGGAGGGTGTTTCGAGATACGCCTGGCCATTAAAAAAAGAAAATCGACAGGGTATAATGTCCATTAGCTTTAAAATGGAGAACATTCCTTTTATTTTGCCACACTTAAGAATGACATGGGGCCCGCATGAAAACGATATTTCCCAGTGTGGGACAGTATCTATTACAAAGAAGTAAAATAAAATAAAGTGGGCAATTCTTAAATAATTCATACAAAGCCAGCCCCCCCCAAAAAAAAACTTTTTTTATTTAAAAAAATATTTACAAAGTATTGGGTCAGTATCGGGATAGAAACCTTTCTTTGATACAATGCTGTTATGTCTGGTGGTGCTACATCGCCAGTGATCCTTGTACGTGAAAATAACCTCTACTCAGTTGGGCAAAGAACTGTGAAAAATTTTGGGCCATAATTCACGTTTTCCTCGGTGATTGCACTGAACACAGAAATCATCTGCAAGGGTCATTCCTACTAATTCCTACCCGCAACGCAAGGGCAGTAATAATGCAGTGCACTGAAATTATTGAATATTTTCGACAAAACTATCAAAAATCGTGGCAGTCTTCCATAGGTTTAATAGCGTTGATTAGTTTAGAAACTTTGGACAGGGTAAAAAGGCCGCCACTCTACGTCCGGTAGCTTTAACGACGTCGGAATCACGAATGTTGCATTGCAGGTCCACATTTTATTATTATACTTCCGTGGAAGAGAACGTGCGTCCATTCCACACCAATAAGCCTTTTGCGAGTTAAATTTGAAATTCACGTGAACACAACAATTTGAATTTTCCACATTAAAACCACTGTTGCTATACCTCGTGATTTGGGGCAAGCTTGTGCTCAGTTATATAAGAGACGCCTATTCTAGAGATGGTGGTCGCTATGCAAAAGCTTCCCCGAATCACGAGGCCATATGATGCAAGATATACGGTTTGTCTTCTGTTGTGTTGATGGAATCTTTTCAGATTTCCGAGGGAGGTGCAGTAGGCACAATAGCCTTAGGGTATACAGCTTACGCATCACATTAGGGGGGTCCGCCTTTACCGCATATCGTGCAGGGTACCGTGCATCACATGGGAGTATCCATATGATGCAATATATGAGGCGGAGAGAACCCCCCCCCGCCTTTGCGTTGGTCATTGTTTGATCGGAATCTCAGGAATTCTTTAAGGACTTTTAGGGGGTGTGTGTTAGGTAACAACAGTCTAGAATGCATATAGGGATCGGAAATGTGGGGGGGGGTACCCATCGGCCCCATAATATGCACAGTATCGGAGGTACAGCAACAGTGTCTTTAGTCTGGGGAGTTCAAAGCGTTATGTTTATGCGCAATCAGGTAACTCAGTGTACCAGATTTTATTCAAATTTAGCTCATTGCTTAGGGCGCTTCGAAACTTCCGCCGCCTTCACTCCGGACTCTCGTTCACAGCCATTGCAAGTAATTTAGGTCCCTCAACTTATCAGCGGCCAAAAACCCGATTTTGTGATATCAGAACAAATATTTGCGTTGCGAGAAATTTTGCTGCGAAGTCAGCATTCCCTTCGTTTTCGCCTGAAATGTGAACCGACCTTATGGAACACCGCGTCTAAATCTGCCTAAAAGTTAGAGTGTCTTGCATTATAGGTTTATGCGAACCGGCAGCGCTTCTAAATCACAATGCATCAAGAGATGAAGCCGCAAACCCTACGGAGCTTCCCCGTTGGGAGCGTTCTTGTTCCCGACCTGAACAAGCTCGTCACTTTGATTCCTCAAGAAAATATCACGTAGTGTGATGCGATTAAGCCACAAATCCTATATGCCTCGAGCAGAAGCACTCCCTCATCGATTGAAAAGAGCTATATTGGTCGGAAGTGTTCACTTTGTTAGAGCTATATTGGTCGGAAGTGTTCACTTTGTTGGTAGCAATGCGACCGTAGTGCGTGCATTTTCGAGTCGTTCGTGGACCAGCGAAGTTCAGTTCCGACCAATGGCGCCTCCGTTATGAAAATTGCGCCCTCTCTTTGTCAACCTCGAGGCTCATAGGTGTCGCAGACTTTTACAGTTAACCTACATTCGTTTATCGCGTCTTGGTGTATGAAAATCGAATGCAATGAGTCTGTAGCTTGGACACGTAAACCCCAAGTAAGGGAAAACATGCCTTTCGACAGCCATCAGTGCAATCACACCCTTCCGCTTATTCTTCTGTCGATATTGTCCGATCTGTAGAAGCAAACGTTCTGTCCGAAGGATCGACACCAATATGCCTAAATTTCAAAGGACAAAAATGCCGCACTGGAAGCTATAACCTGTTATCACGCAGGAATAAAGAGGGGTTTGGGGTTGCGCCAATGCATGTATTGCTGAGAACATTGTAAAGCATGTAAAACGTAGTGTAACTGCATAGAAAGCACGACAAAAACGGGCAGACTTGAGCCCGTAAATGCTGATCAGCAGAACAAAAACAATGGAAACAAACTGGTGGAGATAGTTATCAAAGCGCAGCACACAGAAAATGCTCGACATTGTAATAGCCTAAAAAGAACTGTTTGGAAGAACTATTCAGTATAAAAAAAGGCATTAAAGACGAAGAGCAGGATTTGGGTCATTTAATTAATATTCACATAAAAACTTCCCTCAAAGTCTTTGCCGCCACGAGTTCAAGCTAAATAGCTCAAAAAACTCTTCTCTGTAAGTTTTTTATTTTAAAATCCCTTTACTGATATCCAAATCCACGAGGCAGCTACAGGCTACTTGTGTAGCGAGTTCACGTGGTAACAGTTGCGTGTTTGTGTATTAATTTTTCCCCGCAAGGACAACATGTCGTTGACTGGGAAAGAATTTAGGTAAAGCTTGTGTTGACACAATCGCTGTACCCGGGGCACGCTCAATTAGTGCGTTAGGCACACCGCTCAACAGCAACGTGACGTTCCAGCATGGTCGTACGAGCTAAAAATAGACTTCCATTTCGAGTGTGGATACACAGGCGTCAATACCAAGTCGCATTGAAATCGTGTTGACAGAAGCACAATAGTTTGAACTTATTCTCGAACTTTTTGGACGAGCCTTCCTATCGCCCCCCCCCCAAAAAAAAACGGTACCCGGGTTAATTTTTCCTCCACGTTTGATGTTATTGTCTGGTTGATGAAGTTGGAGGCATCTTTGCACTTGGGTTTTGGAGGCGCATCAGTGATTGTCTAGGCTGCCGTCAGATCTGACAGACTGGCACAGATAATTGTGATAAGATTGAGCTCCAATATACGTGGACGATAATGACAAAAAACGATCCTTGCTTGTCTTTCTTCAACGTAAACTTTGATTAGTAATGCTTAGGTAAACTGCAGTTTGTCCGTATTTTAACTTAGTCCACTTCCAACTGTTTTGTTGTTGATTTGTTATTGTTCAGGATTCGTCGTTTCTCTGTATTTTCAACTGTTCCATCGGCAGATCATTATACAATGTAGGGCGATGTGTATGAACTCAGGACCAAACTTTGAAGGTTATTATCGGAGGCTGTAGGGACGTGACATGATCGTCCATTCCTTGTTCCAAGCCGGATTTAAACTGTCTCTCACAGCTGCGGGTCCGTGTTGCCACAGAATAGGTCTCAGCGGGGATGCACGTTGCAGTGCGCCGTCCCCAGGACCTTCGAAGAGGTGCTGTCAATCGCAGGCCGTCCTTGTCAAGCTTTGTCAACTTCTGTTGTTGGTGACCAAGAGCTTCTCTTGTGACAATGCACAAGTAGTTAGCTGGAAACCGGCCGGGTGAAGACTGAACAAAAAAGCAGCATATTGCGCCGTACTTCAGTTGTGGATCCCTTGGTACAGAATGAAATGGTTCCATCTCGACACACCCCAGGTACACATCGAGAAATCTGTGAAGGCATCTGTAACCGGTGAAACAGTCACGCTGTAGGCTTGCGGTCTCAATAAACACGTGCTGAGCCTCTCGCTAAACTAATTTACGATGAGAATTCCTAGGATGACGACTGGATGGACTCGTGCCCAGCGCGGCTGGCCACGCTCACTGCTGCACGTCTGAGGAATACATCAGTCAAGGGAGACGGAAAGAAAAGGGGGTATAGAAGGGATCGCAGGAAATCCCAAATATTCTAGCAAGCCGGCACGTGTAAAAGCAGACATCAGGAGCTTGTACTTTGGCAGACATCACTTCCTGGCTCGTAGTTACAAACGATGGACCACTCTCTGACAGCCCAGGAGACCCCAAGTACAAGTTGGGGACTGATAGCCTACAGTGGATGCAACGCGTGCACGTACACGGTGAATTTTGGTCGATTCGCTGCATCAGGATAGACTCCTTCAGATGTGCGTTCCCTGTCACTCATCTCGCCAACATTTTGTCGCCGAGGCTGGAATGTTTGAAAGGCATGTGTTTCATTCCTCTTTGACAGCCAGCCTGCAAACGACGAGCCACAGGATCGGCTCAGATGTAGTGATAATTGGTTGAGTGTAACACGCCACCTCCCTGTAATTGATAATCCGGAATATGCACCGTTTGGGACGATGGAGCTGGGACGACCAGTGGTAAACTGTGGGGCCTCGAGTCGACGCCAGAAGAGCCCTGGTGACTCGGTAAGTTGTCCTGGATTCGACAGAAATTAATCGGGAGGTGGTGCAAAATTGTATCGCTCGTCTCGAGCCAGTCTCAGTGCCGATACATATTATATTGGTGGACCCCTTTCTGTTGAATGGATTAGGCCCGAAATCAATCGGCTGGGTTCGAATTGCTGTAATATTTACAGTTGTATTTATTTAGCAAAGCAGAAATTCAAAGGCTAATCATTTAATGGGTGCATGGGCGTTGGTTTCCTTGAAGGGAAAATAAATCTACGCAGCATCATGTGTCAGGAAGGAACTAAAACGAGAATCACGCAACGAGTTTTTTCAGCTAGCACTGGTTCCCTTGGCGATCGTAAAGTGCATTTCAAAGATGTTCAAGGGCAACGTGCATATCGCCCCGAAGAGACGGAAGTTGAAATATTTGCCACGGTAAATATAGTTCCCCGGCATTCTTGATCGAGTTTTTAAAGTCTTCTCACCGGCGGGTGAATTTGGCGGCTCTGCTTCCCTCTCGATTGCGCCCGTAGCCCTCGGGGAACTGGCAGGGTATGGTCCAGCCGATCGTCGTAAACACTCGGCATTCTACCAGTTTTGACTACCGGTACAGTGTGCGGGGCATAGGGTTTTTTCTTTAAGTTCTCTGATTTTTCTACGTATTATTTCGGCCGTCAGTGAGGGGAAGCCTCTGGCGTATTTAGGGCCCAAATTTCTTCAGTAGGGACCTTGACTGCGGAGGTCTCCTAAACAAGGTACTGCGAGGCAAAAAAATACCGCAGAGTGTCGACTCTGATCTTTGACCCGACCGATGACATGTATGTTTAGTGATAAATGACAACGGGGAGTAGTGCTGCAAATTTTGGAATGGCCTCCCTGGATTGTCAGAGTGGGGTTAAAGGTGGCAAATTCTCCATCTCACCAACTTGGGGGAAGTAATAAGACTTTTCTCAATGGAGCTTTCAAAAAATCAAGGAAGTAAAGGACCATTTTACGTTTCGACTTCAGGCGTAATTCGATTTTGCTTCCAACATAATGTAAACTATCCTACATTTCTTCACATTTTGTTGGAATGGCTGTGCTCTTTTAAAATTGTAGAAACTGTGTCACATATACATGTACTGATAAATTTTCATGTTTCTCATGACTGGGATGGCCCAACTCAATTTCCGCAGAGTCTGCTTGTGCTGAGTCACCGCACATAAGCTGTGGTACTTAATGGTTCTTCATAGCCTAAAGTTCCATTCACCGACGACTATCTTGTTTGCCCCTATAATTTCCAAGCATTCAGGCACACCTTTAAATGTAATGGTTGCCTTTAACTGCACGTGCGACTTCTACGGGGATATCATATTGTTGGCAATTATCTTCGAGGGACTTTGTTTTGCCAATATTGAGCGACTATTATTATTGTTCGGATCGAACCATCGGCAGATTATTGACCTGTCTATTCCTTGCCAGGTCGAATCATTCGAGTCTTATAAGTAAAAAATAAGAAATGTAGCGTTTATGATTATGATGAAAATTCAATGGCATGCTGTTAAGGTCAGGCAGCTTCTATGCGTTGTATGCCTGTGATTTCTTTCAAAGTATCTTTATCAGTCAGGTAATGTGCTATAATTGTGAAAATTTACACACAGGTAAATATCAAACACCTAAATATGAATTTTCAACCATCGTTATTAGAGTGCTTTACTATTGTGTTACATCATGGGACGATTTCGAATGGCACAAGAGCTCCGTATGCTGAAGTAATTTGAATAATTTGTTTATTGCACTTTTCAAAATTTTATCCCGAGTGCTGAGAGTGGTAAATTACTATGAGAAACATCACTTTTGGACTCTCCACTGTTTTTTTTTAAATGACTGTCTACACTTTAGGGCAGTGGTTCTTTGAAAGGTGCCCAGGACCTCCCGTGGTGCCGTGTAACAAAAATAAGCACATTGGACACAATATTAGGTTTATATTTCATCGTCTCTCGACACTGGTTCTGTCAGTAAACACAGCACTCGCAAGCCGTGGAAAATATAAATATTATGCTGCGTTGGTTTGTCACGCCACGTGTCGGGCCATTCGAGAATGGGTCGTCTAGCTGCTTCCCTTCATTCAATGGAAAAGACCCATGTGTTAGGTTTGGAAAAGAATTAAGTCATCATTCTGACAGCATCTCACTCTGGTACGGGGTCTTTCAAGGGACTTTACTTCTCAGAAGCTAGGGAAGGCCGAGGCCACTGCGAAGGCATAGCTAGTCTCTAGCCGCGCAAAAGTCGGACTACATGCGCCTACTTTGGTCAGTACTTGGCCACACGCAACACAATCAAGAAGCGCGTTTGAGTTTTGTCTTTTTTCTTGAACGCCAAGATGTGTTCAAGTACGAGATACATTCCGACGTCTTCGTGCATTACAAGCTGCCAATAGAGGGCGCTCTCGCTAAGAAAAGGGGGATTCAGTATATCGTGCGCCACTGCAAATTACGTTGTACTAAGCAAACTTCCCTCCAATGAGAGCTCATGTTCACCGCAGCAGTTTTAACAACATTAATTATTTTTAGAGCCTCCCCGGGTGTTCCTCGGCGGGCCCGGCAGGAACACTCCGCGTCGTGATCGTCGTGGCGTCTGTTTATTATTATGGGGGGACTTTCAGAATCGCTCTGTAGGCGCGTCTCCCACAAGAAGAGCGTAGAGGGGGCGGGAAGGAAAGGGTTCGGTCCACCCACGCGAACCTGACACGACTCCCTGAACTGTCATTAAGACTCCGCGCTGAGCGTACGTGAACTTGATCGACTACATTACTGGCCCTCTCTCGTAACCTTGCACTGCATTATGGTTTACTCCCAGATCAAAATTGGCAACTTTGATGGCATTTCTAACGGCCTCAGGAATTTCGAAAGTGATCGCAGCTGTTTCCTGAAGTTCCAACACGAAGATGGAAAATAATGTACGTCGCTTGCACAAAGACTTCTTCATCAGCAAGTCATCTTCTGTGCACGACCAATCTCTTTGTTGGGGGAGTGCAAACATTGCGTTCAAAATTTGACAGTGTCAAAGATTAATAAATGGACGAAAGTGCTGATGCCGTAAAAAAAATAATAAAACCCTACATGTTTTTAACAAGGTTGTTGGGACTTCTACCTTGTTATAAGCAGTGCCCTGATTGCTGGTGTTCGACTGATCGCTCACAACAGAGCTAGTTTTTTCATCTTTCCCGTTTGCTTTTTTGTATTTGTTTTTGTTTGTTTTTTACATGTCTTGTGGCATCAACAATATTTTGTTAGTATGTTTGCAATTGAAAACCGCTAGGTGGCCCGTATTACCATTGCACTGACTTAATGTTGGTCAAAGTTTATGACTTACTCTGTCGCTTCGCCCCTTGCGCCCGGTATGCCGCTTAGTCTACCATTAGAATTTGGTTATCTTTTCTCTTTACCGAACGACGTTTCCCCAGAACCGGCTAGGCTACAGACAACTACGTTTTATTCCATTTTCTCGAAATGCCAGCAACACGTTGCAGGCATTTTTCGAGCCCCCCTCCCCCACGCCACAACTTCGCCGACAAAGTCTTCCAAAACCACTTCTCTCTATTTTTAATCCCCAAATCCCAATCACAGCCCCACGAGCAGCAGGTAGAAGTCAGTCTGCAGGGTTCAGTGCACTAATTCAAGTTCAAATTTCCACTGAGTTCACGAGCATAAAAAGTACCCTTTGCATAGTTTCTTTGGAAATCGGAGATTTTTTTAGCCGAAAAATGAAGAGACTATGGATATAATCAGCCAGGATAAACTCCCTGAGTTTGGGATTTCCATCCAAGGCAGAGTTCATAAAATGAAAAACTGTCCTCAGTGCCCAAGAAGGTAGAAAGAAACCACCTGAAAATGGCTGCGAGCAGGCTTGGAAACTATCACTTTTTCGAGGGGTGAGTTTGTTTTGCATTAAAAATGCCATTGGCTACCCCACCAAAAATTGAAAAGAAATGGAAAGATAGGGATCAATACTGTAACTAATATTTTGTTTGAGAAACTCCAGTAATATCAGCTTACATGACTTTATTAAGCCCTAAACTTTGTCGGTTTTTCACTGTTTTCAACGGGCCTAGAATTAGTTCACTGCGCCTTGCAGCCGCAGTTGTACATAGGGTATTTCATGACTTGTGTATACTGTGCTGGGTTGGTTCTCAAGCAGGATATTCCTTTGGGAATACAAGTTTTATTTATATACTTCCGCCAAAGGTGAATCAATTATACGCGAATATCCTTCATTATGTGCAACTATTATCCAATCTACGGCATTCAAGCTGCGTGCTTTGTTTACTTGAATTTCATCCCAGCGGTCGGGTCCATTTCGCTAAATCCCAGGCTAATTTTGCGAGCCGCGGGGTTGCTGTCAGAAGGTATGCCTCGCCTGCACGCTGTAGTCTCTGCGATACATACCGTGAAGCCATCAGTATAGGTCGAGTTTGAGGATCTGTGTATGCACATGCACAAGGGGCACATACCGTCAACATTCAGCTCGCGTGCTCTACCAGCGCATAGGGACAGCATTTCAACATGCATACGACAACCGCGACTACAATGTTAAAATCTTGTATGCTTTTGTCATACTGACTTGTGAAACGCCAGGTATCTGCCCCCAGTACACACTTACAGCGCTTACTCATTTAGCAAAAGGCTGTGTTTGCATCACTGGCGTGATTTTTAACATTGCAGAGTGGGACTGTAAAATCAATCATTGCAGTACCAAAATAGACCACTGATTTTTTTTCAACCGGTATTCAAAACGGTAAGCGCTTTAAACTGGTTCTTGTCTGGTAACACTGAAATATGATATTGTTCAGCAGAAACTACGCTGAGAAACAGCGTGGTTTGCGTACGTGGGCTCTTGATATGGGTAGGCCTATGGGAAATCAAGTACTGGCACTAAAAAAGGTTTGCTGAAAATGTCTACACATTTGCCTATACGGACTCGGAGATGGACTTGAACATTTCCTGCATACCAGCGGTCCAAGCATCCATATTACTATGTTACTCATTCAAAGAACTTGGTCAACATTCCCTTATTTCTTGGGCCTGATTCGTGTTGTGCTCTACCCGTACTTCTGTAAGCTTGGCAACTTCACTCAACCATGCAACAATGTTTAGGTTAAAAGACTTTTATAAAAAATGGTTTTCTGCACAACCCGCTGGGCCGCGTTTCGGTACGGCATTACAATGTTCTCATTTTGTCATTTTTATAAGGCCTTGAACTGTAGTTTATAGCTGCATGAGCTGTAGTGACATGTTGTATCAGTTGATTACACAAAGTTCATCCTAGAACTATTTTTCACCCCACTCCTGGACACAACACTCCATAACTCGCGGCTTTTATTTATTTGTGCAGAGAAAGGTGTTACTTAGTAAATCAGTCAGTGTGGCGTAAATCAGAGGAGACATTACATATTTCAGGGACTTGGTCAACAGTTTTTCGGCAAAAAAAGGTTACATGGCAGCATTTTCTTGGCCAAGTTGAGGTATCCCATGGGGTTCAAGCTCATACCGGACAATCGAACCCCCGGCTTTTCCTAATTTTTTTTATATATTACAATCCTCAAAGTAGTTGGCAATTTCTGTCTTGTCTGGTTATATAGGACGAAGCCGCTTTGTACTTTCCGTGGGCGCAAGTGCTATTTCTTGTTAAATCATTGGTCCAGTTTTGCCACACTCAGTGGACAAAGGACGGCTTCACCGCAGCTAAGGGAGATTTTCATTACGTGCGACCTTCGTCGAGCCTTCAAACTTAAATTATTCTGTTCATACTTGAGCATTTCTATCCGGAGTCGACCCGAGTAACGTGATCCTGTCGCAGGCGGATTTTTAACCCAGCGTGCGAGGAAGTGGGATTTGAAATCAAAATCGGTGGAAAACGACGTCATCTTTCTTCATGTGTATGGCGTTGGGATGCACCTAGGAGATGCATAAACATTTTGCAAGGTACCGACTGCACTTCGCAACAGAAGCCTTCCGTGGGTTACACGTTGGTTTGTTGAAATTGGTAAACAATATTGTGACATTAAAACTAAACGTTTTCCGTTGCCAGCTCTTCGTGTATTTTTGAATGCACACGTAAGGTACTGAGCATGTGGTACATGTGAAGTTGTGCTGCCACAGAGGGAGGCTACACCGAGCTATCGCCCTTCCCCTGCGTGTTTGCGCACGACAGTGTAACGACAGAATCGGCGTATAAGTGACCATAAACAATCACTATCCCAATTAACTTTCAACACCAGGTACATGTAATTTCTGTTTTCATGCCCATCCCTTTATCTTCTCTCGTTTTTCCAATCCAAACCAACAGGTGTGCGTCCGGCGCATTCTGACTGTAGCTATCTTCCTGTTACCGTGGGCCATCTGCAACGCAGCACCTTACCAGCTAGCGGACCACAAAAACGGCCACTGGTCCAACGACACAGTGACAGGGACATCGTCGGTGACACGTAAAAAACATCACTCCCACATGGAGGGCAAACACGCCCAAGGCTGTAAACACGACCACAGCACCAGCAGCCGTAGGCATCATCGCGACCGTTATCGCAACAACCCGCACCGCCACCTGAGTAGGGACAATGAGGTGGTGCCCCTGAGGTCGAACGACGACATCCTGAACAACATACCGACCTATGTATCGGATCTGGTTGTCTTTTCTCCCGTGAAACCAGCCAACCCACCCTGGTCACCGGAAGCCGTCCTGCGCACAGAGGCCAACGAGGTGACGGATCGGCACCACCGGGAGAGGCGCAGCACCACGCAGGGTGAGCCTTACCGGGCCGTCTGCGAGCCCGATCCCGGGTGGGTGAAGAAAACCTGGGTCTACGACCTTTTCGGCAACAATGTGACGGTAATCAACGAGATCACCACTTCTGACGGCATGCGGGCGAAACAGTGGTTCTTCCAGACGACCTGCAAGAGAACTCAGGGCGCAACCGAGGCGCCTCAGCCCTGCGCGGGCATCGACTCGCGTTTATACGAGTCGGAGTGTGAGGAGAAACGTTCCTTCGTCTATGCTGTGGTGCGTACAGATATAGGCGAGGAAGGATGGCAGTGGGTGATCATCCCGACATCGTGTAACTGTGCTTTTAGACCGGTAAGGAATCCGAGAAGACGGGCCTGGCCGCCTGCGTACTCCTCTACGGACACTCAGACCCAACCCACAATAATAAGAGATCGATGAAACGGCAGTTCGTGAACATACCGTGCAGCGATGGCAGACGAAAACAAGTACGTGCGCTCGATTAGCAAAATGGTACTTTCAAGCAACCTAACTTCTAAAATGGTTGAGAACTACTGACATTGACGGAAAGTTTTACCCACGGTGGGTACACTCTCGAGGCGGCCCAAGAGGAAGTATTGATTCAATCAGGAAAGTTATCTTTCAGTCTGCAATGCTAGCGTGTAACATTCATACGGTAATTTGTGAGTTGGTCAAGTATTTAGAGTGAAAGATCATTAAAAACAAAAGCAAGCTGATTGGCCATTTGTCTAATCAGCTGGTAAAGAGATCGTGATTGATCGATCCAAAAAGTCAAATACGCTGTTCATTTTTCTGGTCAGCTCTTAGTGTGTAATAAATGATAATTCGTGCTGACGACAAAAACTGAGCCAAGTGCACCGGAGCTTCGACGCTCAGTGGCTGCGCTAATGGACTAATTTGAGGGTTTCAGCCTCACGGAGGATCACAGTGTTCTGGTCTACTTTTATCGCATCACTCCCGCCGTTCAGACATTCACACCTGTCAACGGGCCCAGCAATCGTGCGAAGTTCACTCTGACCGAGAGCGCTCATAGTTGCCCACGGAGCGTTTAACGCTTCCTGCGTTTGCATTCGAGAAATTTGTGGAATGTCTGATTCGTCAGCGAGGGAAATGGTGAACTGTATACAAAGCGAACTGCTGCAGTTTAAACACTCGAAAGCATTCGACCTTGGGAAGACCATGGAGGAAGGAGGGGACCGAATCCACAAATACCTCGATAGACTTTTAACATTGGAAAGAAATGGTCACCCGATTGAGAGAATGACCGAAAATAATGGTTGGTCGCTGGTGACCGCAATGCCACCAGATATTTGTTCCAAACCTTTATTTTCAGTCATATACTGTTTAATTACTAACAGCATTTTGTTGTTTCAAAATGTACTTTGCGTCGGGGAGAATTTAATTTTACTTTGGGAATTTGCCCTTACCGACGTAGCACTGAGAATACAGTGTTATACTGTACGTCGGGTAAGGGCAAAACCCGTAATTAAAATAAGCACTATGCTGTGTCTTTCTTTGAACACGAACATTCTTTAATGGAGTGAACACTGTGAGTTTGTGATCACTTGTGGCTGATGGTAGGGTTTCCACGCCTTGATACAGCAAGAAATTTTCCAGATCGAAGATCAAATCAGATCAGATCAAAAGCCTTGATATCATGAAACTACAACCATATCTGGGATATCAAATTTCGGTAAATAGGGTGTACTATCTGTGTTTTGTGGAAGTGGACGTTTTTGACGAAGAATTTCATCTTGATGAATGCTGAATATATAGGGTTTAGTAGTGCGTTCGAGACTCAATGACGGATGATTATTATTCATGACTTAGACTTGAATAATTAGGACTTTAAAATGAGAATTGAAGGTAATATTAAATAATCCATTGCTATAAGAAGGTGGGTATGCGGAAAGGGCTCCTTTAAATTGGAAAAAATGTTGTAAAAATTGTTACATTTTACAAAAGAACGATCGAAAATCGAAGTTTCGTGGAAATTGTGCAGAATAGTTGTTTCTCTCCGTGTGAGGCAGTTTTTCTCAAAGTCTCTTTAGATTGCCCCAATACCGAACTTTGTTTATGAACTGCGATCAACTTGTCTAGATCATGTTGCAGATTTATCGAGTATAATCGCTCACTTGCACCCAGTCAGTGATGTCTTCGCGGGTGTAGAATCTGGGATGTGGAGTAACAACCGTTTACTTTTGCAACTGAAGGAAAATACTGTGATAAAAAACAGAATGGATGTCACAGTTGAAATGATTGATACCGACCTCCCTCGAAAGGACCCCACAGCACTCTTTTCCGCGCGAGAATACGAAACGTCTGCCACTCTACCACGTTTGGTAGAAAGCTACTGTGGATTTGGCATCTCCCTTTTTTTCTTTCTTTTTTTTTGACTATACGGTTTAACTTGGGCCTAAACTTCTTTTAAATACTACGTAAATCATGATATACATTTACTAGGAACACACAGCAGCCAAAAGCTACGAGGGGATATTAATATTTATAAGGCATACTGCTCTTAAAGTGTACCTGCAATGAATTTTTCTGTGACCCAAAGTTTCTGCAACTTCACATTCTTCTTCAATGTGCGAAAATTATTCGACACCACCTTTTGGTATAAATGCATTGAAAAGGGCAATTTCTAAAACACTGAATTTTGTCCACTTTTTCTGGACAACTGAGGGCGCTGTTGATGTGATGTCATCCATGGAAGACATTTGTTCAAATTGTGAATCAAAAATTAACTTATAATGAAAACATATCTGAGAAAAGGCTGCATGCTTGCTTAATGCTATGTATACCTACACAATAACTCACCCAAAAGAAAATTGAGGCCAGCAATATCTAGGTTATTCAGCCAGTTTTGTGCACAAATCAATGCAATACTGAAATTTTATTCCTGGGATGAAATCACAGTTGTGCTCATGAATATGAAAATATGCCTACTCATTGGTATAAAAACCAAAAAGGCAGCAAAAAACCCTTCTCAAGTGATGAAACCAAAAATTGAAAATGAGGTTAACTGACATGTAGAGGTGTATTTTGAAGGTTTGTAGGCCTGTTTTCAAAAGTGCATTGCAGCTACCCTTTAAGCCAATTACTGGAGTGGTGTGTGTTTGATATCAGCAGACCCATCTAATGGTCTGTCCAAACTACTATAAGCATTCACTTACCATTTTCTCTTCGTGTGTTGTCCACGATCCCAAAAGTTACCGGTTCAGTAAACATTTTCTTATGTATAAATTTTCAGTTGTACTTGTAAGGCACTGTCCAATGAGTTGCCTGAGGGGAGGGGAAAAAGAGACAGATAGCTTATCACAGGTTACATAATACTTCGCTTGCATAAAATGTCATAGGTTCAAACCCCACCCGAAAACCATCTGCTTCATCTCTTCTTTCTAACAGACAAGACCTGGTAGGGCCATAGAAAAATATTACTGACGGACAAGTAGCAATTCCATTTTTATATAATTGAATTAACTTTATGCGATACGCCACGGTAGATTGTATATTTCATTGAGTCACTGCGAAGTTGTACTAGTATTTAAATATTGCATTAACTTAAAGACACTAACAATTAAAGATGTAAATGTTGTGCGTACATTATATATTAGATAACCACTATTTACCGTAGTCCACAATCGGTATTTTTATGCTGTAAATAAGTTAAGACGCGCCTCGTGTATCACTATTTATTGGTGTATATAAATTTTAAGAGTATCATATTTTATATTATCGTTTTATCGGCAGAACTGACGAACCAAACGTGCTAGGCAACTGGAGGTGTGAAAAGGGGCCGCCCGATCAAAGGGGTGGGATTTATGAGGTTTTGTTTTCGGTTATTATTTGGCAGGGAGAATGGGAACAAAAATCCAATTAATCATGGGTGGTCTCCAGAGGGCGCTATTATATAGCCAGGTCTACGGCACGTGATAACATGCGTATAAAGAATATGTAGTTAAATAAATTTTAAAAAAAAACTTGATTTTTTTTTGTTGAAACGAAATGTTTTGATCATCTTTTCATCAACAGTTTGCAGGGTATATCCTCTTCAGAAGTTTTAGTCCACGTCCCTCCTCTCAGAATTTGAAGGAAAAAACAGCTAAGTGCTATTTGATACTGTATGCACCAACCTACTGATTCGCAAAGCTATAACAAAATTACTTGACGGCCCAAAACAAATAAAACAGATTGGCAATTCTGCAATATATGGTCGAAGGGAAAAAATCATTCACAGTTTCGAGCAGAAGTTACGTTAAAAAAAATTAGAGTTAGAAAAATACTATTCCAAAACTACACCTCTTCAATTTATAGGAAATCCCATTTCGCATTTATATTCTCAGACTACTCTCAGGCTAAATTTTTAAAATTTAGATGAAGCAAAGAGCTGTATGAAAAGTTGCATGCTATACGTTATTCCTGCGCTACAACAAAAGCACTGCTTTTTACAAGATACATGTATGATGCAGGTAAATATCTCCATTTTCAAACTTGACCTTGTCTTTGATTCTCCACACATGAACATGTAGATCTCAGCTACAGCATTATTACAATGGGACAGAGAGAGACCAAACCCTGTTGTGCCATACGCCGAAATTCCAGTGATATAGTTCAGTCCTACAATTCCAGGTCTGTCAAATCTAATTCAGAGGAAGCCTCGAAATGTAGAGAGTGAGGTCTGCGCACTTTGACCTTCAAGTCCGGAAGGGAGAAATGGAGTATTTGAACGAAAAAAGTATGCTGAAAATGTCCAAGAATTTGCAGAAGACTCCAAAGAACCCCCCCCCAGTTCTTTAATAAATATTCCTGCACATGTTAGTAGCTGGTTTTGTTCATTTCCTCATGTACCTTCTCATTCAGAGTACACACTCAGTCGACACACCCATACTGTCTTGGTGCTTACTACTGAGCTGAATTCCCATTGTACCCCCTTGTGAAGTACCTTCGTGATTTGTTGAGTTCCTTCTATGAATATGAGGTTCTTCAGAGATGCTTTAGTTGTAGCAGAAAGTGGTGTGCCAGTTTAAACCAACATAAACAAACACCCAAGAAATAGTTTTAACGGGGATAAACGATTTTTGAGGACCAAACCGATTCTTTAAAAACATATTCTAGAAGTGGGTGAAAATGGAGAATTCATGGAAAAGGACTTGCTGACAGCAACGTCAACAAATTTCTTTGAGGAACATGTGTTGGGTTGCTCGAGAGGGGGACAAACCTTTGCAGCTGCACTGAACTGGTGCGCCTAAACCTCCCTTACTAAAACCACCAGCCCATATTCTTTGAAACCACCCCGACAGAGGCATTAGTTATTAAGCAGTTATATTTGGCAGAAATTTGGTTAACTACGGCAAAGGATCGCTGTGCCTGCCAAGGACCCAAGGTCAATGTACTACATGCACCGTCTATACAACATCTGAAGGACTGTCCATGTCATGGCCATGTGCCAGACTGCAAAAAATGACGGACAGATTGTCAAATCCTTTACAATATGAAAGCAGGAAGCCTGTGGAATGTATTTCCATAGACCAAGAAGTATTTCGGCACAGTATAAACCAGTGTACCATATTAGAAAAATTCAAAATTTCTTCAGGAATTATCAAGGTGAAAAATGTAATAATCTGGGTACTGGAGGAAAACATTCTTGCAAAACTGATTTTGAGGTGAAGCTAGGCAATCAAGCAAAGGCTGAAAAAACTACACCCATATGGCTGACAAAGCCGGACTTGAACCTAATACCGGAAATTAGAGGCTGCCCTGCAATAAGTCAGTGACTTTCACAGCTGAGGACTTTCAAGAAACTTCCTTAAAGTTTTTTGATCTGCCAGCTCCATTTGGGATTTTATGGAGATCTCCGCCCCACAATCTCTCTCAGCTACACATGTACCATCTGCCGTGTGGAAAGTGGACCATTCCAGGCATAGTCTTGCCACTAATAAAGTTGGCAAAAAGGGAAAGAAGACTTGCATCCTTAAGACAGTTCAAAACTTTTGCAGCCGTAGGGCATACTGTCAAAAATGCATTAACTTCACTGAGTTTGCATATTAAATTAACGCAACACAACAAACACATGAGTTTGCATACATACAACCATTTTTTTCTCTTCTTATACTTCAAATCTTGCACGCTTGCTAACTGGCTGATCTTGTTCAATGTCTTTCAGTTCGCTGCCTGTTCTTAACAGCAATGTTCCTGATTCCAGAGATGCTGATGGCCCAAGCTCTGCATTTGATTGGTCAAATCCATCACTGTCGTGCAACAGGGGGCCAGATTGGCCAATGGCAGTCGGGTCTGAGCCTAATAAGTGTTTTGATTGGTCGATAGCCACCACTGCTGTTGCATCACCTAGGAGTGTCTGTGATTGGTCGAGGGGAGTATTGGCTGAGTCTAACAGGGTATCTGATTGGGCAGTGTCATCCTCACTCGGCAGGAGAGTCTCTGGTTGGTCATTATCATCTTCAGACGATGCATCCACAGTGAGCCCTATCAAGGCATCTGACTGGCTGTTGAGAGTTGGGTCATTTTTCTGAGTATCTATAATCTCTTCTGATTGGTTGAGCCCTGAAGTGATCGACTTGGGTTCTTCTAACAAGCTGTCTGATTGGTCCACTTCTTCCTGCTCACAAGGGACAATCTGATGCATAGCTAGAGTGTCATCCGCTGACTCTTGTACCTTCGACCAAGATATTGCCAAAAAAAAAGTAAAATTAGTTACTTCTTACAGTGCTTACTGAAGTCTTGGCTTGTGGAACTACTGAAAGCAAATGACACTCCAGATTTAAATTAAGTCATTTCCCTTTTAAAACTTGAATACAAACTCAGAGGGCTTCAAACAAAGAGGGCTTTGAACAATGGAGTATCCACAACCTATTTGAATGTCCAATTTAGGGACATGCTGACAACAGACATAGCCATAGCTCTTAGAGCCCATTTCGGACATGACCTAAGTGCTGATATTCACCATCACAGCAACAGCATTATCAAATGTAAAAAATTCATTTTCAAAAGTTAAAGCAAAACTTTTTGACCCAAAATTTGCGATCATCTGAGTTTCATTATGAGGGCACTTTAAGGAGCCTATTTCATCAGCACCATTTTCAAGTATTTAAATAGTACCATCCAGTGAAACAAGATTGATGTTTGAACGAAAAACACCTAGCATCATTAACCCGTCCCTCAGTGCTGTGAAAAATTAAATTGATTATTGGAGGATTTAGGACTGTTTAGGGTTAAATGACTTGGGAGGAAAGTAGGTCCACCAGCCCAAGATTGGGTGTTACATGACCAGATGCGGCCCACGCCAAGTGACAAATGAGGGAGTCCATTTGGTTGGACGAGCTTGGCTTTTAATTTGCTCACTGCTCACCTCCTGGCAGTGCTGGTTAATCTGGGACAACAGCCGTGCGGTCTCCGGGGTGAGCGAATCCGAGATAAAGGTCGTGCCATCACTCAGTTGGGTCTCAACCTGGGAGATGAAACTCCCTCCCTCTGATGATCAAAAGAAAGGAGAGACAAAAACGACAGATTTTAAAAAGAGAAGACGGTTTTGTCAGTGTACAGGAGAGAGCTTTTGCAGATTTTCACTCAAATGCAGCTACGTTTGCCACATAATGAGAACCTGCTTATCCACAACTGCTCTTCAAAATAAACACCAGGGTTCAAGCAACTTTGCCGCAAAATGATGAATGTTATACAGTCTTATTGGCAAATGTATGGGGAAATGTTGTTTTCAGAAAGGCTTGTTTTTCAGTACCACCTGCTCAAAATGGAGCATGTTGCCAGTCATTCAAGAATATAAATGTGTGCGAAATGTTTAGTCCCATCAGTGTGGATGTACCCAGACTCACACACACTGAGCATGATGCCAGGTGCTTTGTTCGAGAATTACCTTGCCTTTTTGAAATACCAAAGTGTCTCTTTTACAAAGATTTCAGGAAATAAATCCGAAACTAAATAGAACCTGTTATCTGCCATATTCAGTCAAGTATTTGATATCCAGACACTTGTCACTGCTTTATCAATGAAACAATTTTATTTTGTTGACACTCTTTACAGGACAGGCACTCTTGGCTACTTTTTGTGTCCAACAGCATTTTAGGAGGCGGGGGTGAGGCACAAAAGCCACACCAAAATAGACAATGTCCTCACCATCTGGATTCTGCGTTAGTGTCAGTGTGACGGACTGGGTGTGTGGTTGGCTTGTATCAGCCGGCCACATCTGGTGCCTGGATGGTGCTGGCTTGATCTCGGGGCTGTCCTGGACCTCAGATGATTCCCACAGCTGGTTGCTAAATGGTTGCCCCATCTGGGAGGACCTCATTGTTGATGGTGGGGGTTCTGTGATGGCACGGGCATCTAAAATCTGAGGCACATTGACAAAATTTACATTTCAGCACACGCAAAAAAAAACTTGTCAAATCAAGGCTTTTCTTTTAAAGTTTGACTCTGAAATTATGGTTTTGCTAAATATGGCTCAGTAGAGTTCTCAGTAGAGTTACAGTCACATTTTCACGGGTTCATCAAAGGCGATCCACTCTCAAGCATAAGTTATTATTCAACAAATCTGCCACAACTAAGACTTTTTGTACAACAATATTAAGTTCTTTCCAAACAATAAGCGTATTCATTTTGTCTATCCCACTCAAGTCAACAATGAAGAGGTTTGCAAGCCATACTGGCTATTCACCCAAAGTGAACCCAGCTTACCAGTTAAAAGTTATGTAAATGGATGAAGCTGGCGGCTCCAAAAGGTACACAGGTTATTTTCGGCTCCAGCAACCTAATTCAGATGCAGCAACCGAGGGAAATGTGGCTCACAGCCCGTGCCTTACCGTGACGGGAACGACAGCTTCCAACTCTCCTCTTTCGATGGCTGCTAGTGCCAGTAGCACATGGTTCTTGATGTCGTTGATGGTTGGGAAATAGAAGAGATTGTGCCGCTCAGGGACACTGGCTCCACAGAACATCGTGCGGGTCACATGGGCTCTGCAGAACCACAGAACAACAACAGACTTTATACCACAAATTCAGAGTGTTATGATAGTATGGTGGCATTCTACAAGACACAATGTGTCAGCAGGATTTTTTAGTCAAATTTTGAAACTCAATCAGCTGAATAATATCCAAAATAAGACGCTTTTTATTCTGACCTTAATATCTGCCTAATGACGTAGGCATTTATTTCTCCATTGGTAACCAGTTCCTGTATCTTTTCACACAGCTCCGGGTGCAACCTGGACTTGGCTGTCGAGTCCAAGGTCACAGGATCCTTCCTTATTTGGTATTCTGGGGTTCTGTGATACTGGTGGGCCTGGTTAGTTGGCAGCTGGACGTAAAATCTACAAAGGGTTTAGGAGAATGAGGACTGCTGAACAATGCTTCTATAAAACACTGTTTAAAAAGTTCAAGCAGACCAACTGGTATGGTTTCAGTCACTTGAAATGAAAATGCACAAATGAACATGAGAATTTCCTCTGAAATTTTGTAAAGGATATGGCCAAAAATTTAACAAAAAGCAATCAATGTCTTCAAGCTTTGCTTTATTGCTTTATTCCGTCAGGCACACCCACTATCCAGAAATAATAAAAGGTGAAAAATTACAATATCGTTTAAAGCCTAGGGAATCCAGCCATCGACAAAAGAAAAAAGCTACATTTTTTCTCCTTCAACAAACAGACAACAGAAACACTGCCATGAAACGTCCTTTCTAAGCATGCTCAATAACCTTGCAAACTGACCTTTCAACACCTGGGATTTCATCCACACCAATGTCTTTCATGACCTGAAACATTTTGTCCATGTTGCGCTTGACTGTCATCTTGTCCAAGTCTGGTGAAATGTTCACCCGAAAGGCTGGAAACTTACGCACTTTCTTCACATAAATTCTACCAACAGAAAATACTTTTTTTCATTAGAAAGTGACATCATCTACAAGTAAATTAACCATACACTTTAAAGGTCTATGCAATGCATTTTTTTGCAACAGCCTTGAAATGCACTTTTGTGTTTCAATTCATCTTATTTTCAATCACTATTTTCAGGCCACGACAATTTCTTTTGTTTTTTAGCATGACCGATCGGTCAGGCCATGCCATGAATTTGCTTGCCCGAATTGGATCAACACTTGCCCAAGATTTCGTGGAATCCACGATTATTATGAATATTTAACTTAAGCCTACTGCATGCACACAGTCTTTAATTAATGTTAATACAAAAATACTTCCACATTCACAAGTAAAAAGAGTAAGCTAAAATAAATCTGTCACAGGCTTAAAAATACATTGTGTAGTGAATTAAAAGTAAATAAAAGATATTGTAGCAAACTTACAATGAGTCAGTCACTCAGGGTGCATTCAAGCAAGCTACTCGTGTTAACACAAGTATAACCCTGAGCGCTAGAATGGCTGGAGTACGACCTGCGGGTCAGCAAGAGTATACTCTCGATAGTAGGCATGGTGGGGAATATACCTGTACTCCTGCACCCGACGGTAATGCGGACTTGTCCTACTCCTGTTAACAGGAGTACCTGTAACTGCGCGAATGCACCCTTAGTGTTTTAATGTCCATGTACGTTTCTTGTCCCTTTGCCACTGTTCCATCCCGTACATGTAACCCCTTACAAAACACGGAGACTCACATCTTTTTCATCGAGCATACATGCAACTGACAGAACAGCAGCAATGAACGCACGTGGTTCATTCAACAAACAGTAAAGCCCGAGGTGGGAATATTTTTATGTAAGAATGTTCATATAAGCAACTTGGATAAGGAATCTGACGTCCTAGTATTATAATTGAGTTTATAATACTTTTATGCACTGTAGGATGGTGATTTTATTGTAGACTGTTGATTGCTTAATACAGGCGAAAAAACTTACATTTACTGCAAATTATTTTACATCCAAATAATTACGATCCCACGAATAACTGACATGGCATGACAACCCCATTACCCAATCTATTAACTGAATTTTGATTGGTTTACAAAATTTCTGAAAAATGAAATGCGGCACTTTCAGCCAATAGCGTATGCTCTTTCAGAACGTGCATTGGAAACCCCAATCAGCTGAGAGAAAATGGTGTTTATCAACGTCGAGGACAACTACACCACTTGGAATGTTAATGCATGGGGCAATGTAGGGTAAGTTGGCACGTATGACTGAAACATGACTGAAACATTTTAGTTATTATTTATCATACTGGAATTATAATTGATGTTCAAAGTTAAGCTTTAGCACATAAACAACTTGTTTACTAATGCAGGTAAGCTTTTCTAGACTTGCCCAAACAGGCACAGCTAGTCAGAATTTTAATTGCCCGAATGAAAATTTGATTGCCCCGGGCTATCGCACAGGGAATTTGTCACGGCCTGACTATTTTGTTCTGTTCTATTTTCTTCTCTTCTGTTTTATTTAAAAGATATCTTGGTGCCTTATTGGTTTTCTGCTAATCCGAGTTTCAATATTAGTGAGCAAAACTGCAACATTGTCTGAGGCAGAAATTCTCACTGTTGCATTGATCTGTACACACAAAATGCTGAAAAATTCATTTGGGGAGATTCACTGATGCTTGAACACATGACATTCATCCAATGAACAACTCTTGCTCAGAAATGTCTCAGGTGAGAAAATGCGGGGTTATAATTTGAACAGAAAAATCTATGAATTCTGCAGTGTCCGACCAGATAGACATCACAGAAACAGTACTCTCTGCTACCAGTATATCGAGTAAACCTCGAAAAAGTCAGATCCAATGGGACCGCCCGATTCTATCTGACTTGGCGAAAATCCGACTTAAAATGAAGAAGACAAAATGCATTACACAGTCACTGATCGCCATCCATATAATGGCCACAGCCCACAAAAAATATGAAATAAATACCGTGATGTTTCTAACGTCAGACATCCTTTCATTTCCACACTACATACAATGTACAAAAGAAACTCACACATTTCACTGATCGTAACACACAAATTTGTACCTTGAGTGATGACATCGCAGTGTGCGTGGTAATGTGTACTTCAATAGCTGTATATAGCCCAGCCATTTTATCCAATAAAAAATGCAGTCTGTGATCATGTGGGCACATATACATAAGTGTAGACTTTTTTCCAGCCGGAAATCAAAAAATAGTGAGACCGGCGCCAAAATGATAGATTTGGACAGGAAAATAAGGAAAATTCCCCAAATACCTGTGTTTACTGGAATGACTAGATGTGCAAAAATCTTTTTTTTGTCAATCCGACTTGAGAAGCAACTAACGCACAGTGTTTTAACAAATGTTCCAGGTTGTTCGAGAAAAGCGAAAACCCGGCTTTCCCGATCCAACTTAGGCACAGAATTTTTGAGAAATCAAATGTTCCAAGCGATTTTATCCGAAGTAAACCAAAATCCGACTTAAATGGATCTGACTTATCCGAGGTTTACTGTATGTTTAAAAATTGAACTTGTCAGTACATGTAACCCCAAAATGATGTTAGTAACATTTTCATACATTGGAGAAGAGTACAAAGTTGTAAAACAAATTATGTTGAACCCCAAAAGAATGAGGCAAATATAGAATTGAGAAGTACATTGCTGCATAAAAGTATTCAATCTGATGCATCCACCATCCTTTGGGAGACTATTACAAGGGCTATCAAAGACTGTCAACTGTGTAACCTTGCGGGGCACGTGCAGGCCTCCTTACTAGCCTTCTTGGGATTGTCGGGTCTCTTGTGAGGGCCTCCTTTTCGTCGCGGGCCATACTGGCACTCCATGACGATTGCTCGACTTCCTGAAACCACCATACGGAAGTGAGGAATCAGTGGTACTACCACACTTTAAAAGAGTTTGTGTTCAAAACCAACTTGGGTCAAAATATGGAGATTTTCTCTTCCTGTACATGATATCACAACTTTGTCAAAGGGCTGGATCATATAGACCTCCTAACATTAGCTATCAAAAATTCAGAATCCTCCCAAAAATTCAGAATTTTTCATGAAAATTCAGAATATTGTACATAACGTGAGTCAGGAAATAATGGCTTATACAGACATTCCGGAAATTTGCATCACTGCAACACTTTCAAATGAGGTACAATTGTACATGACGTCATGGGAATATAGCCTATTGAACATGCGACCATATTCAAAATGGACACTGAATGTATTTCACATGTTCAGTAACACCATATTTGGGCAGTGGTGTCAGCATCCACCATGTCAGCTTACCATGAAAAGGAAAGCAATGTGCTGCATTGTACAAGAGTTGAGTCCACGTCTGTGATGATGTACCATACAGTACTGCACATACTCACTGATTCCATAAAATTTTGATTTCCAAAAGAGTAACCATCTGAAATGGTCCGCAATTAATTTTTCATTTCCTAAATGTGTTAATTCACCGCGGAATTCAGCTCCAATTCAGTGCAAAATCCAGCTAAAAGGTCATCGCGTGGTGTTTGCACACTTAACATGATAGTGGTCGATTTCACAGCAGTGCTTACTCTTGGTTTCAAAACGTTCTTAGCTATGATTCCTAGCAAAACCGGGCGTCATGACGCATACAGTGTTAGTTACAATGTAACTTGTCGATAGAGGGCATTTTTCTCCATGAAGAATCTTGGTATCACGTCCATGATCACTTTTATCTCGTGGCTGGTACGCTTCAAAAGAGGGCACTGCCACAGGTGTGGTGTGCGCAACGTGCACTGCACTGACTGTTTGCCTAAGTCGGATAAGTCGTATTACAGTGCACGCTTGGACCATGTACCATGTCCATGATTACATGGACAGTTTCTGGTAATACCCAGGGGTGTCAAAATTACGACTTGGTGGAAATTTTAAAGCAAAACAAGAAAAAAGCAGAAAGCGGCCAAAATCAAGAGGGTTGGGAGGTCTGGCTCATACTTCATTTGAAAGTGAATTACGAGACATCAACACCTTCAGTTCCGTTACAATGCATGCAGGCTACCCCAACAAATACACTTTGCTCTGAAATTTGATGGCAGTATGATCCCGCTCAAAGCGTCTTGTACCTGTCTTCTCTCTGCACTTTGTTTCATAAGCAACACATTCTTTTTTTCCATAATTCCTCTCCCGCATAAAGGAACACTGCATAAAGTAAATAATCATAAAAAGAGGGCTTTTGCCTGTTCTTCGCTCAGCCTATGGATTTGACATCTACAGTGCAGTCCACTGCAACAACTCACCCAAATTGAGGAACGGTATCCCGTCGTAAGGCACATAGTTTGACTTCCACATCAGTCGCTTGGACTCCCGACTTGAGCTGGGTGACTGTCTGGTACCCCATGTTGTCCCTGTCTGCTGCCTGTGGTAGACGAGCAAAAGGTCAAGCTCTACCTCATTGTCAACGTAGCCCCGGTAGGAGTTGCCAATTTCCTGAGGAGAATGCCAGATTTCACTTCATGTATCAAAACATCATTTTCTTCTATGAAAAAATCATGCATGATCCAACTGACACAAACCCTAAACCACCAAGACTGATAACAATCTACCAGCATATTTTGGAAAATTTTCCAGGATTGAGGGATGTGCAGTTCATGGCCACAGTTATTTCAAAAGGAACTTCATGCTATTTGGAATTACAGAGAGCTGAGCATTTAATTTGCTTTCTTATTTAAAGTACACAATTTTTCTAGGTTTTGGAGGATTCATGAAGGTTCTAAACATTATGTATTCTTAATTGGCTTCTTGATCTTGGAGTCAGACCGTCAATTGTTCCCATTATCTGCAGCTTTCCGCTAAAACGCACTCAAAATATTAAACTAAATGGCCATTTGTCTTCTCTTCATGAAGTGACATGTGGGTTGCAACAGGGAATAAAATTACGTCCCATTTTATTTCCGATTCTTGTCAATGATCTTAGGGTTAATGGCAGCAGGACATGGAAGTACGTAAATGATCTTACAGTTGGTGAAATTATTAAATATGGGGAGCAACTACAGTTGCAATCACATGTACATGTACAAAGCTTATCAAAATGGTGTTTGGACAATTATATGTAGCCTAAACCTTCTATAGGTAAAAATACGAATATTTCATTTCTTAAACGAAATGTGGTACCATCAGAATTGTTGATTAATGCAAATACATTGACCTCTGCTTCTTGAGTGAAATTAATGGATGTTATATACATATATATAGGACCGTTTTATTCAAATGTTTGTGTGAATAAATAAACCAACAATGATTAAAAACATAAGCAGTTACATGCACAATTTGCAAACATGTACATGTAGAATCTGAATAAGCCACACCTTCAAATAGTGTATTGAACCTACTCCAACAGCAAACAACAGAAAACGTGAACTCAAAAGAAAACAAAAACATTTTGACTTTAATTTTGGATATCAAAGAGTCTTTTCGATTCAACACACTGGTTCCTGGCACTGTGTGAGAGTCATCATGCTCCCAGACCAACTTACCTGACAGTCTTTTAGACGAGTTGCCCATGTTGGGCAGTTCGGTGGGAACTCTCGCAGCTCTGGCTGGGGCAGACATCCAACAGCCCTGCTGGGGGTTTGGGAGGCAACAGCCTGGCCAGATAAGGAATCGGTGGAGACAGTGCCATCTATCGAAGCTTGGGGGCTGGAAGGTGTTATTTCAGAACCTGAACATGAGGGAGAGGATGATTACAATCTCACAGAACTTGACATATCCAAAGACCTTCGAAAGGTTCGATAGATTGTGAAAGCTACATGTAGCTCTGTATATCCTTTTGTAATTTTGACAGCTACTCATCAAGAACCGAGTTTCTCAGAGGTCTGCACTAAAAAAGTCTTTACACATTCATTAAAGACTTTTAAAGATATTCAGTGAAATAAACCAACCTTAGCACTGGCTATGGCCACTTGCAAATGAAAACCTTAAGTCAGAGACTTACATGTACCATGCAAACACTCAGCCATAGGGTAGGACCACTCTAATGAATGGTACAAGGGAATGATCTTGCATTACTGTTCAAACTTACTGAGTCAATTCCCCAAATTCTGATTATATCAGGTTCCGTATTAAGTGACAACTGATATCCAGCCAACAGTAAAAAAAAAAAAGGACATTAAAGGTATTTACCATGATTTCTTGCTCGAGTAGCTGGAATAGGCTGATCGATGACAATGTGAAAGACTGAGCTCAGCTTATTGCCAACATCACTGTTTAAAGCTATCTCAATCACCTCGGCCTCAGGGGCCCAAGGACTCTTGACAATCTCTAGGGGCACCACTGGCTGAAAACAAATGAATATCCATACCAGTCATGTTGAACTATTTCTCATCAACAAAGACTGCAACAGTATAACAGTTTGGACACACAAAAGATACAAGTTGCTAACAAAAATCTTCTGTCTCCAGCTGTCACATGTGGTTACCTTGTCACTGACAGAGTCACACTGCTTGGCTGCACATTCATCCAACTCATGTTGCCCATCACCATGGCAACCATCTGATGCCGAGGACTCATCCTTGGCCAGAGTATCATCTGAGGTGCCTTCCTGTGAAGTGTCTTCTTCAACTGCAGCCCCGACCATAGAATCCACATCAGTCCCAGTCTCACTGACTACAAGGCTCACTTGTTCATCGCCCGAGACACCATGCGCTTGTTCATCTTCCTCTGCCTGTTTTGTGACGTTCACACAGAGCATCTGCACCCCATCGGTTTCCATGGTGACTGAACATAGTATTGTTATCTGCAATCAATTTTTGGTGCAATAAGGTAAACTCTGCTGTGTGGTAGGTAAACTCTGATAACTTGTTCCCTCAGGAAGAGCACGATTTCAAGGTAGCCCCAGTGGACTCCCTCATGTCCACTACATTACTAATAATGTAAATACTATAAATAACGAAGATGGGCCTCCAACCCAGGCTAGAGTTTCAAAATGTGGGAGTTCGGATGGCAAGTGGTTAGGGCCAGTGGCTCCCAACACCAGATTGTGAGTTTGACTTTTGACTCCGCAGGCCATCATCAATCCTTTTACCCAAAAAAGATTGCAAAAACATCCTTTATCTTCAAGCAAACTTGAATCATCAATTCTGATTGGTCAATCCGTGGCATAAAACAGGGTGGTGTAACTGTAATGTACACTTTATATCAAACCCTGTGAAATGCACTATTCAAACCTATTCTAACTCAATGTGTTTCGCTACTTTCAGGCTAAAAAACAAAATGCAAAGCTGCAAATTTTATAGTAAATTCAAAGGTGGCACGTTTGCACACGCAGGCCCCTGTAACATCTTTACTGTGCGTCAAATTTGCTTGAAGATAAATCTGTTGTCTCATTCACACTCACGGAACACGGAATAATGTAGTGTGTCTGTGTCCAATATGCTATGAGGCTGAAACAGGACACAAACACTACATTACTCTGCATTCCAGTTGCGGTCCAGTCCTGGGTTAACTGATCATATTCAAGAGTTTTATTGAATCTTACATCAAATTGCAGGATATCTCATTTTCCTTTCATGGCTCATGACTCTACAGGATTGTTTCAAAGGGAAATCTTAAGTCAACGTACAAATTCCGCCCATGTATGCAAATTCACAATGATGAATGACTAGAACTGGACAAAGATTTGTCATGGTAAAATTTATGTGCCCCCCCCCGACTGCATATTCAGTTGCAGTGTTGGTAATGCTACATGTATGCGTACAAAACAAGTTTAAGTACATGTACATATTAACTTGAATTGCAACTTCAACAAGCAGAGTAACATTTGAATATGGGCCTAACGTTAGGCCTACGATTTTTTTCTCAATTTTTTGTCTTTGAGTTATAAGAATAGGCTACATGTCACTGTCATGGGAATGATTCATCTGCATTGTGGGTCATTCCATTAAAATGGGGTCAAATTTTCCCATCTGGCATATGATTTTAAGTTCCGAACACATTCCTTCATTTCCTAATTTAGAAAAGTAATGCAAATTACCTGTTAAAAATACTGTGAAGTCAATTTCAATGATATTTACATGGAGCACTTCGACATCCACCTGACTTTCCCCCACACAGCACTGCCAAGCCTCTTTCTTCAAGACTTAACTCATTGGTTCTACAGGTACTGCGTTCATGGTACACAGGTGTTAAATCTTTGTTAACGAAGGTCATGAATTTTGTTCCAAATCCAAAACTTTTGGCATTCAGAAATTTGGCTTGAATTCAGCTGAGTTTTCCCTAACGTGGTGCACTTAAAAAAATCTCAGAAAATCCCACATAAACATTAACAAAAATCACTTGAAGTTTTGTAAAGCTTCAGAACTTCCACTCAAATACCCATCCACAAGTTTGTCAGAAAATTATTTTCCTATTTTTGGCACATTTATTAAGAGTTCATTTTTCACGTCAGAACAACAAAAATGGAAAATCGGGCAAAAATAAAATTTCATCCAAACTTTGCAGCAGGTACATAAAATTGACATTTATGAATCAGAATGAGGAGCTTAATGCAGTTTCACTAGGCCCTACCTGAATGCTCCGTTAAGACACAAAGTAAACAATGAAAGTGCACTAGGTTAGGGAGCACACCATGATAGGGTACATCAACAATAGACCTTGGACATGATGAACATGACGGATTTATACGCCTATCCCTTGGCATATTACACAAGTTGGTTCAGGTGTAACAGGGACAGAAAAAGTCACATGTTGGACCCCAGATTTTTAGAATGGAGCATAGTGCTATAGGCCTACATGTAGCTCCATAAATGGAGTAATCATGGTAACTACATGTATGTATAGTGGAACGCCGCTATACCGAACACCACTATACTGCACATTCGGCCGTACCGTACATCGTCCTTGGCTCCCAATATTTTGTGCACAAAACCTACCTAACACTAAGCAGTTGCCATTTGAAATTTTCGAACGTCAACTTGATAAAACAGTGGGGTTTTTATGTTGGAGAGTGACAATTGGCCATCATTTCCACAAGGATTGGAAGGGAAAGCCGCTAGTTGTTGAAGAGTTAATTGTAATTAACTAGCTGAGAAACTACGTACTTTGGTCTGCACTTGTTCAAAGTCGTCTTCTAGTGACGGCCAGGGCACGCACAGTTAATCTGCTTAGAAAACTTTTTTTTTCAGACCAGTCTCATACTGTACTCATAGGGTTTGTGCATGGGGTGTCAAGTCATGCAAGTGGCGTCCGTACACGTACATGGAACTCTTTTCAAAACATTTTTGAAAAATGAAAGTGGAAATCCTAGGTCTATAACTTTAAAACTAAGCCTGGTACAGTATGGCCTATGTAACATGGCCTAGGCCTACTGCTGCTTCTTATCAATAAATATCATGTAACGTTAGATTGGGTGTCGGTCACTTCGCCCCATTTCCACTTTGCCCCTAACCACCTTGCCCCATTTCCATTTGCCCCATTTCCACTTCACCCCATTACCACTTCGCCCCATTGATTATCGTTCATTCTGTTCTTTAGTAACACAGGCATAGGCCAAGATGCAACAAGTAAAAACATCAAAATTTGAGTACCCAAATAACAATCGGATAATCCAACTTTCAAAGGCTTAAACAATGATTCTGATTTCCCGACCGCCGGACCCAAATTTTTTGTGTTTTGCGCCGCACCCGTGTAAAGAGAATGCGTGATGTAGAGTGGCGACCAGTCTATTCATGCCGCGATGACCATTCATGCACGTGATCCGTCACACATAAAAAATCGATGTTTGCAAGATGTCTTCAAGTTAATTCTTAGTATCTTGTCTATGCGTGTATTTATCTATTTCATCAGTTTAATTGTAGGTTGTTTTGCTCGTACTGGAAGCGAGCATGTTTCCACAAAATTTCCTGCGTGCCGAGCTTTATCCGATCGCCCGGGTACAGCTGTCTGGATGCACCGACAATTACTAGAATGATGTGAACAGAATTGTGTGTCACTTTAAAATAAACTTGAACATGTTGAAGAAGATGAGAAATAACCCGGATGCTAGTCCAACCATATGCATTAATTCACGGTAATGGACAACAGAGTGGACATTAATTTAATGCTGTAGAGTTTTCTATAAGAACTACCGGTAGGCCACATGTCGTTTGTGGAACTCCTCAACCATTTAAGCAGCCTGTAACACACTCAAAACGGACGGCAAAGCGGAAATGGGGCAAAGTGGGGATGGGGGCGAAGTGGAGATGGGGCGAAGTGGGATGGGGCGATGTGGAAATGGGGCGATGTGGGGATGGGGCGAA